GGAGATAGAAGCTTTGCAAGGCGCCCCCACGGCGGCCGACTGCTAATATTTAGCAATAATCAGTGTCGCATCCGCACACGGGAGGTATCCCCGTCACCTGTTCGTATACTCTAATGTGGTTGGGTTCAAGTCACAGTCGAGCCCTGATTTTTTACAGCTTTTCTTAAAAACGGCACATCGTGCAGTGACGTTCAATGCATCAGTGGAAAGAGCATCAAAAGTTGTATATTATATTGACTTTTCACCTATATATATTACTAACGATAAAAGTTATAAAGGAATAAAGACGCTCCCATTGACTTTCCATGTTAAAAATTTCCATTTTCAAACGAACTTTATTAGAAAAAAACGATTTTGCACAGCGTAACGAAGCAAAACAGCATATCCTATGTTCCTTTCTCAACATCTCTCGAAAGTTTGAACGAAATCGTGACACATAATTTTTTTACAATGCGCGAATGAAAATATCGCTGCAAAACTCTCCATTCACTTAACATGGGACACAGCAAAATTCCAACTTTGACCTCGTGCAAAGAAACGTTCCAAGATTCTGACGGGTATACGGCGCACACTGGCGTGTACCGGAACGTGTTTGCCATAAAATGCTGGGATGAAAACCACCCCTTTCTTGGCTCGTTTTTCCGCCATTCCCGATGGCGCAAAAAGACCCCCAAACCCCCATTGACTTAACATGGGCGAAAATTCAAACGCACGCGCCACGCGCAAAAGAATTCTGAGCGAGTAGCGACCGGTGCCATCAGCTAGATCGCCTTCGAAAGTCTATACCCTGAGATTTTTACGAAAATCGTTGCAGAAGTTTTGGCTGGAATCAAGTTGTACTGATTCGCGGCCAGCCATGCAAAACATAGCCCGGAGAAGGACTGCTCCGGTTGTTTTTCAATAGAAAAACAATTCTAACGAATAGTGTTTGTCTTTTCAAACAACCTGCGGTTACACCTTTGTAAACGCAGCAAAAACGCCCGCCGCCAAACGAGAGGATGAGCCTTGCACGTGCAGACCGGTGTCGGTGTGCTACGGACTGACGTGCACAGCACCCTATTCGCCGGTCTATAGCGGTGTGCCAAATTTGAGTGCAATCGACCCGGCCGTTCTCGAGATCTGGAAGCGTCGTCCTGCACGTGCGCACGTGCAAAATGAGTCCCATCTGATTTGTGCACGGCACCCTACTCGCCGATCCCTAACGGTGTGCCAACTTTGATCACAATCGGCCCAGCCGTTCTCGAGATCTGGAAGCGTCACCCCGCCCGTGTGCACGTGCAGCGGCACCCCAATCGTGACACATGGAAATGCATTGCGCGGCAGGTGCCTACAACCATGCCAAGTATCAGCGCAATCGGCAAACTATAGTTCGTTTTTTTTCAAAAGGACGCTGGCTCCAAGTTCCTTATCGAAGCTCTCACGTGAGTTTTGGCAGCTTCAGCGTCTGGCCAAGAATTTCTTACCGAAAAAATATTCGATTTCAAATTGTGCACGGTAGGTACCTGGAAATTGTGTCTTGAAAAATTAGCATACTATGATGACGTCACTGGCGGCAGCAGGCACTCAATGTCCGTACGATGGGACAAAGTTTCGACGAATTTGGGGGAAACTTCGTTTTTCACTGTTGCCGAGGTTATAATCGAGTAAGCGGTTTCGTCCATGAAAGTTATACGCTACATTGCAAAACAAGTTCGACAGCATTACGTCACCACTGTTCTCAAATCTGGTTCCAAAACGCACATATGGAAATTATCGGGAATAATTCACATGTTAAAATAAGGCGACGCTCGAGTTTCTCAAGTTCAGTTTTTGCTCGTTTTGCTCGCTAAAACGCGTGCTTTTTCGAAAAACATACTTGGAGCCAGAGTCCTTTTGAAAAAAAAAAAACGAACTATAACTACAGAGTTATTAGACTTGTTACCGAACTGACACCTCTTCGTTTTGCACGTGGCACGTGCATTAGGGGTCACCCATACGCATCGAGAGTAGCACACTACGTGTGAGAAAGGAAGAAGCTATCCCACACAAAAGACCGCGAGTGAATCGGTCCAGTGGTTGCAGAGATATAAGGTTTGTAAAGGCACCCCACAGGCGGCCTACTGCTAATAATTAGCAATAATCAGTGTCGCATCCGCACACGGGAGGTATCCCCGTCACCTGTTCGTATAGTCTAATGTGGTTGGGTTCAAGTCACAGTCGAGCCCTGCTTTTTTACAACTTTTCTTAAAAACGGCACATCGTGCAGTGACGTTCTATACATTGTTGGAAAGAGCATCGAAAGTTGTATATTTTATTAACTTTTCACTTTGATACATCTGCAACGTAAAAAGTTATTAAGCAACAAAGACGCTCCCATTGACCTTCCATGTTAAAAATTGTAATTTTTAAACAAGCTTTTAAAGAAAAAAACGATTTTGCACAGCTTAACGAAGCACAACAGCATATACTATGCTCCTTTCTCAACAACTCTCGAAAGTTTGGACGAAATCGTGACACATAATTTTGTACAGTGCGCGAATGAAAATGTCTCTGCAAAACTGTCCATTCACTTAACATGGAACACAGCAAAATTCCAACTTTGACCTCGTGCAAAGAAACGTTCCGAGATTCTGACGGGTATACGGCGCACACTGGCGTGTACCGGAACGTGTTTGCCATAAAATGCTGGGATGAAAACCACCCCTTTCTCGGCTCGTTTGTCCGCCATTCCCGATGGCGCAAAAAGTGCCCCAAACCCCCATTGACTTAACATGGGCGAAAATTGAAACGCACGTGCCACGCGCAAAAGAATTCTGAGCGAGTAGCGACCGGTGCCATCAGCTAGATCGCCTTCGAAAGTCTATACCCTGAGATTTTTACGAAAATCGTTGCAGAAGTTTTGGCTGGAATCAAGTTGCCCCAATTCGCGGCCAGACATGCAAAACATAGCCCGGTGAACGACTGCTCCGGTTGTTTTTCAATAGAAAAACACAATTCTAACGAATAGTGTTTGTCTTTTCAAACAACCTGCGGTTAGCTCCGGTTGTTTTTCAATAGAAAAACACAATTCTAACGAAAAGTGTTTGTCTTTTCAAACAACCTGCGGTTACGCAAGTGTATCGGTCCAGTGGTTGCGGAGATATACGTCATACAAAAACGTCCCCACGGCGGCCGGCCGCTAATATTTAGCATTAAATCGCATCCTTCAATGGGAGGTATCCCCGTCACCTGTTCGTATACTCTCTGAGCCAAGGCCATATATAGGTCTGAGCTCAAATCTCGGTAATGTCGTGCTTTTTTACTAAATTTCTCAAAAACGGCCCGACGTGCAGGAACGATCTATACATCATTGGAAAGAGCATCAAAAGTTGTACAACCTATCAACTTTTCACTTAAATATATCTTTAACGTACAAAGTTATTAAGCAGCAAAGACGCTCCCATTGACTTTCCATGTTAAAATTTTTCATTTTTAGAGAAGCCTTAAAACAACAAACGAATTCTGACAGCTTAACGAAGCATAACACCATGTTCTATGGTCGTTTCTCAACAGGTCCTGAAAGTTTAAACAAAATCGTATCATATAATTTTGTACAATGAGCGAATGAAAATGTCTCTGAAAAAATGTCCATAGACTTAACATGGGGAGCTAAAAAACTTCAACTTCAAAGTCTTACTACAAAAAATATCGACTTCTTACGGGTAGACGGCGCACATGGGCGTGTACCTGAATGTGTCGTCCATAAAAAGGTGTGCAGCAAACCATACCTTGATCGGCGATTTTTTCCGCTATTCGCGATCGCGCAAAAAGTGTCCCAAACCCCCATTGACTTACTATGGGAAAAATGGAATCGCACGTGCCACGCGCCACGAGATTTTAAGAGAGTTGCGACTGGTGTCAGCAGGTAGATCGCCTCCGGGAGCCCATACACTGAACTTTTTATGAAAATCGCAATGCACATTTAGGCCCCCGTCAAGATGTCTCGATTCGCTGCCAGACTTGCAAAACATAGCCCGGAGAACGACCGCTCCGGTTGTTTTTCAATAGAAAAACACAATTCTAACGAATAGTGTTTGTCTTTTCAAACAACCTGCGGTTACAGTGTGGGTAGGCTGTGCCGCTTCACTCTCGGGTCATGCGGCACAGTCTACCGGTACCAGGCGGCTGCTGCCAATGCTGAGCCATAGGAACCCGGTGGATAAAGAGTAGCGGACCATCAACCTGTACACGACTGTACCACCCGGCAGCCGTTACACAATCCCAACACCCGGTGACCGTTAATAATAAAAATTTTAACCAGCTCGGTACAGTGTGGCCAAATTGGTTTAGCGTTAGGGGGAGGATGTATAAAAAGTCGTACGAGGATGTCACTATTTAAAAAAAAAAACTCGTCTTCAGCCTCAATTTAGGTGCAGTTTTTACAGATAATGTGGAAAAACTATACCTGACGTCAAATTCTGGTGGAAAGTATAAAAAACTCCGAATATTGTCATTAAAGATATAAAAAAACAAAAACATTGCAAGCACGACAGCACGAGTATGACGGTGCGAATCGTACATTGAAACATTTTTAGTCTTTATTCCTACACTACATAGGTATGCATGCTTTCACGACAAAAACGTCGTGATGATGTAACTTTAAAATTTCTGAGGATGTCATTATACTTTTCATTGAGGGTGACTTTCCCCGCAACATCACCAATTTGGCCACACTGGCTCGGTAGCATCCAACGCCCACGATTTACCTGTCTGACTTCCCTGGATAGAATTAATACAAAAGTTTCCGAGATATTATTACGCGGGGCATGATAAAGTTAATAACATTAACAAATCACGAACTGGATAATGTCGATTTTTTCATTCATGCTGTAAAATGAATCAAATAATAAGGATGTACTTTGATGAAAACGGTACGGTCTTGATAACCACCTATCGTAATTCTACACCGTCTCCGATAAGTCCCCGCGGCCTATCCATTAGTCGGCTCTGTCCGTTCGCATCTAGCCGGGCTGGCGACTAACCTTGCGGAGCATGTGCCGCCGGCGTCGGCCGTGCTCTCCCACGGTGATCTTTTTCTCCATTTCGCTGAGCTTCTGCACGTAGGCGGCGTCCTCGTTACGCAGCTGCACGTGGCTGGGGCCGGGTGCCGGCAGGTCGCCCAGCGCCTGCTCGACGCGGTGCACCTTGACGCCGCGACTGTCCATGGTGGCCTGGTACAGTGCGAACATGTCGATCTTCAGCTGGTGATAGCGCACCCGTAGCTGGTTCATGGTCGCCGCTGTCGCTGGGTGGTGGTCCACCCCTCCGAGCTAACCTGACAAACGGAAATGCATTACTAGCTGGGTTATGTTTGTTACGCTATAAGTAAGCTTGTAAGCCTTCGCCCGGGATGGGGATGGGGGTTTGGCAACACCCACCAGTTTTTTCTTTTTAGGGTATAGCTACACCAATTCAGCATCGTTTGTGCAATTTTTGTCCCCAGGTCACGTAAGGTCAGGTCACCAGGTCAATAGGTATTGATAAAATTTGTTGGGCTCCTCTATCATTGGGTTGAGTTTAGAGCCAAAAACTCGATTTCATGCGATTTTAAATGAATATCTGTCATATAGGGGAGAGTGGGGTAATTTGGCCGGTGGTGTAAATTGGCCGCCCCCACCTGTACGATGTCTAATAAAAGTGAGTGAAATAACTCTAGTCTCTATTCATTTGTCATGGGTAGAAATAACTGGAGGACAAATGTCAAAACTTTGCCCCTCGTAGTTTTATTTAAAATTAATAAAACGTTAATTTCATTAGAAAATGGTAACTTTTACTTCTGTTTACAAAGTTGTATAACATGTAGTATTTGGGCTAAAAACGAATTCAGACATTATAGCGCCATTCTTGGGGGTGTTCAGCGGTTCCAAGAGCAATTTCATCTAATTCCGTATAGCCGTGATGACTTTATACACAAAAATTTTCAGAATGGCAATATGGGGTAATTTGGCCGAGACTAGCGGGGCAACTTGGCCGGTGCGCTCATGGTCACTATGCTGGGACGGCCGAGTTTTCATGGTCAATTGTACCATAAATGACATAATTCATGACCAACTTTGACTACTTTGATGCCTTACTTCCGATTGGTCAACTGTAAGAGCATGTGACGTCATCAAAGGTTACCAAACGTTTTTTGCTAATAAATCCTTACATAAAAATGGTACAGCCGCACAAATGGTCTCATTCTGTTCAGCTCGCCAAGGCGCATCGAATGATATGCATGATAACCTTGAAATCACGTGACCTTGAGGTCAAGCGACCTGAGGTAACGTGATCTGAGGTCAACCTTTGACCTTGACTTCTCGAGGTCAACACATATATGTTTTGATGCGGAATGACGAGATAATTACGATGGTACTCGAAGTTTTGGCCTAGCTTGATTACTTCAAAAGTTATTCGTAAAAAACTGTCTTCGCATATCGCATCTAGAGCCGCTAATTTGGCTATTTTGACCCCTGTGACCCCATGAGTCAACCTCCAAAATGTGGTAAATGCGTCATAGGACACACGTCATTGCTGAATCTGAAGCTGACTCGCAATATAACCAGGGTTGGCAGGGGGTGGCAAAAACTGGTTTTTGCCAGTGGTTTTAACCGGTTTAAACCGGCTGGCAGAAACCCTGGTGGCAAGAACTGGCAACAACTGGCTAAAACTCAGATGGCCAAACCTACAACTTTTCTAGTAAGGAATGGATTTGAAATGTACCAATGCATTTCTGGTAGTTATATAGATGCACTAAACATTCTAAAGCTGCCTCATTACTTATCCCTGCTTAAAATGTCTATGCATGTCGGTAGACATCCACAACGGAACGTATTTCAATGTATGGGAGAGTGGGGCAAGACAGCCACGGTAGGTAAGGTGCCATGCGGTGCCGTGCGCATATCAGTGGCAGATGCCCCTTCGCACTTCTGATTGTGCAGGACTCACCCAGTCACCCTTGCACTGGCTCATTTGTCACCCCAAAAGGCATCTTACTAGCTCCTTATGGAAAGCCCATGAAAATGTTTGAGTTATGAAGCATTTCAATGGTCAATGTCACTTCTGTTTGAAAGCATAAAGCTTTCACCGAATTCTCCTTAAAATGCTTCACGTTCAAATTCATGTCCAAGCGTAGCATTGTGATATTTCTTAGTTTTTGCCAGTTTTTGCCACTTTTTGCCGGTTAAAACCGGTTTAAACTGGCAAATGGCATAAACTAGTTTTTGCCGGCAAAAATGCCAACCCTGAATATAACAGAAAATCCTGACCGCAAACTAACACCGGCCAAATTGCCCCACACCCCCGGCCAAATAACCCTGCTAGTGGGGCAATTTGGCCGCCTTGCAGACCTTTGTAATACGTCACAATTTCAATATAAGTAATTACTCTATCATTTCAAGTTCACTGTCCAGTAAAGTAAAATGAATGCGACACCTGCCAGCGTTGAGAAAATGCAGAAATGTGTCGTCAATTTTAAGTTACATCGTTTTCTAAAAAAAAGCGGCCAAATTACCCCACTCTCCCCTACCTATAATAGCCGTTTTCACGACGGGCTATCCGGCGCATGCACCTGATTTGACCAAATCTGCACCTAATTTCTTTTACAGCAAATATCTTCATTTTATGAATTTATTTCAGTGTTTTAATGGATGATGCTCTCTGATAATATGACAAAGCAGTGGCGGATCCAGGATTTTCACTGGGGAGGGGCTGCAGGTCATAATTGGGCGCCACGCCCCGGATGGGCGCCATAGTCGCATCGTATTGGCGCTGAAATATTGGCGCCCAGTGGCCCTGACAAGAGGCGCCCAGGATCAGTATGTACAGTGACACCACACGATTGGAAATATCGGTGCGGAGCGTACTGAAACGACGTTATTCGACTGATTTTTGCATCCTAGTCCTAGTATGCGGCACTCCGATGAGTTGCGAATTGAAAATTGGCGCCACTGCGCCTTCGGCGCAGTGGCGCCAGTTTTCCTTGGGTGGGCCCCGCAGCCCCCCCCCCCTGGATCCGCCACTGTGACAAAGCAGGCATAAGCAATTAGTGCAACCCTAGCTGATAGCTGCTATGAGACACACTAAACCTGATTTGACCAAATCTGCACCTAATCTGTACCAGATGTGCACCAAATGTGTACCAGATGGCCGTCGTGAAAACGGCTATTAACGACTTTAATACATTGTTCAACTGTATCTGGGCATCTTCGGTAAACAAGACGTAAGTTCGTTTTATTTAATTTCGACCCTGACTGTAGACATCCTTTGAACACTGCGCGAGATTTGTCGAGAGAATGCCCTAAGTGATTAGCGCTCATTTAATTGAAGAGAAGAATGACCCGAGCCCCGCGCGAGGTCTCAGCCAACTTCGCCATGGTGCAGGGCGGGGGGAGGGGACGTAGTTGGTTACACCAGGTTATCTCGGGAAGTGAGAAAGCCAGAAAGACGCTGAAAAAATCAAGATATAGCTCGCTACTAGATTTTCCTTAACCATTCAGGTCATTTTTTTTAGGTCGCCTCGACTCTGAGGTATATGGAATTACCCAAAAGTTATCACGAACTTTTACCCGATTTTGGCAATTTTTCACAAATCGGCGCATATCTTTGCAACAAACAAATAGAGCCACAGTGTCGAGGAAAAACGCATTCGATGGCTCTTTCAAAGCATTGCTGAATATTGTTCTCAGATTTGACCTAGGGTCAATGCCAACGGTCTATCCCCCAGAGGACAAAACTTAAAAATTGATTTTTTTTGCGGAACTACTTTGTTCAGCAATAACGTTTGATACTAAACTTGTACTACGTTGATTTTACCCGCATCGCGTCTCTCTCGTCGAGACACGTCGAATGACCTATTTTAGCTGAAACGGTCAACTTCAAAATTTGAGCTCAGGGTAAGGTGACAGAAAATGTCATGCTGCATATCAGCTGATTCGTATCGTTGAGCTGACCGTATGTGAGGTGAATTCATCGCTCTAGCATGTTTCTATCTAAAGTTGTTATCAAATGACTGTTGGAGACGTTTCATGACCTGAGATGGCCTCAGGGATATAGAGAGGAGGAACGGGCGCAATTTTCCGATTCAGTGTGCCATGTTTGCCTGTTTCCCGATGTTTGAGTGTTTTCGCTCAAATCAAGAGCAGTTCAATCTGCTCCCATTGACTTAAGTCAATGGGAGCAAACTATAATTTGACCTTGAAAGGTCAACTTGAAAATTTGACCTCAGGTCAAGGTCATGACCTGACCGGAAAAGGTCATGTTGCATATCAGTCGCTGCGTCTCAACAAGACAAACACAATGAGACCTGCAGCGTTCTATCTCTTTCCAATCGCGAGTTATTGGCAAAAATCTGTTTGTAGCCTCAAATGACCTCGGATGACCTTTCTAGAGGCTATCAGCAAAAATGACACCTTGGTCATTACGGGTGGTCCAAATCATTGTGATTCTGAAATATTTGGACTGTTCCTATGTTTACACACGGATCTAGAGGCATTTTCATTTTTCTCCATTGACTTGTAATGGAAAGGTCACGCCACTGACCTGACCTTAGGTCACGGATATAAAAATCCGAGATATACAAATTGTAGGCGCCCATAACAGCATGCAATCTACCAAGTTTAAAACCTTTTTGACAAACACTGCAGGCTGGACATGATTGCAAACTTTTTTAGGCTTGGTCACTTAACTTGACCTGGTGACCACTGAGCCGATCGTCAAATTTCAAACGGCATCTGATAGTCGAGCGAAACCTAATTTCATTGACCTCGAGGTCACCGATGACGTCACAGGTTAGGTCAAAGTAAAAATTATTATCGATATTTGGCTTGTTTATATTTTGGGCTCTGGCTGCCGTCTTACAGGTCAGATCAGGCTGATTTTTTGTTTACACAGTCGTGAACAGATGCTTTAAATACTCTGAGGCCGGGAACCAAACTTGTACTTTGATTTTCAGGTCAGGGTCAGGTCATCATAGGTCACGGAAATATTATGTCTTAAGTCGGCCACGTGACACATGTTTTATGGTCCATTTAGGCCATAGGTTTCGAATTCGGTTCGCCTGTGTCATTTGAGGCCATTTACTTCTGAATATAGCTGAGGTCAGGTCACTTTCATGTCAAAAAAGGTCAAATTTCAAAGTTGAAATTTTTCAACAACAACAAAAAAACATGTCAATCGGATGCAGTTTGAGCTCAGGAACACGATGGTGCTATTTATATTGGTGTACGATGTCAAATTCCTACAGGAAAATTGATTTGAAAAATTTGAAATTGTGAAATTTTTGCTATAATGCGTATAACTTGGCCATTTTTGAAGATATCTGGCTAAGACTTGCTAGAGTAAGTCATAAGCATGTGTTCTATCATATGTATTTCTTTTTTTGTTCGAAAAATCAAATTTTTTTAAAAAAGATAAAAATACATATTTTGAATTTTAATATATATAATTTTTTAATTTTTTTTTTTCAAAATTCGAGATGGCAGTTTGATAGCGCAGTCCATTCTAAGTCCTCTCATGCAAAGAAATCGGATCTAGCTCAAAAACTGAGCTCTTGGGAGCGATTCCCGTGGTTCAATGTTTTGCGTCGAAATCGGCAGAACATGACATCACTTTGACGTCATTTCCGGCCGATCTATGATAGATACAAAGTTGCAATTTTGACACAAGGTGTCAAATTGATGCAGCCGAAGGAACTGAAAGTTTTGCGGTGATACGTCAAGCGATTTAGAAGTTATTGCAGAAAAAACGGGAGTCAGTGGGGCGCGGGTCAAAAGAGCTATCGAATGCGCTTTTCCGCGGCGCTGTAGCTCTACATATTCATTTCCGAGTTATGCGCCAATTTGTCGAAAATTGGCGAAATTTGACGTTTGACCTGACCTAAAATAATGACCGAATTTTCTTCATTAATTTCAACGCTCTTTCGAATGCCGCTCACCTATACGGTTCGTCGGAAGGTCATCTCAGGCTCAGAAGAAACGATATATACCATTCGAAAGCTGACGGTAAGCTGAATCCAAAAATTTACTTTTTTATCAAAATCGATCGACGGCCTTTTTTGAAAATTGCGTTTTTGTAAAACTTTATAATTTTTTATTCAACGGGCTGTCCCGGACATTCTTGAAAACATACACATGTATTTTTGAGTTCCAGTGAAAGCTGAACGCCAAAAGAACAATATTTAGCGGAGCATTATTTCCAAACATTAATATGCGTCTCCCACAGCCGACAATAACCTTATTTGACCTGACCTTGACCTAATCTTCAGCAGAACGTAACCTAGACTGGCCCCAGAGGTCACCTAGCCCACATCATCGCATTTGTCATGTAAAGTGGACCATAAAACATGCATCACACGACACTTTCACATTCTGACACTCACTTGACCTCTGTGACCTGACCTGGTATCAGTGACCTCAAATAGCATACATAATGTGTTAAACAAAAATTTTTATTGCTTGTTTTCAATAGCCTGCATGCATTTTACTCGATTTTACAACATATTTCTCAGAATGCCTGTAAACCATGAAAATGTGACATTTGACCTGACCTGTGACGTCATCAGTTTGACCAAGGTCAATGAACTTGGGTCACAAGGTAGTTCCCTGGTGGGGCTATCGAACACCACGCTTGAATTTTGAAAATCGACCGGCAACTTTCCAACATTTTAGGGGGAGGGCGAAACACGGCCCCCTTTACGGGTGGCCAGGGTCCGCCGATAGCCCTACGGGTTAAATCATCAGCTAACGAAGGCAGGCAAGACGGATAATCAATAACCGTTTAAAGTGGCATAATAATCATAGTCAGCAATTGACCCTGGCCGAGTCAACTACAAGAAGCAACGGGGAAGCGCATTTCCGAAACGTAGCGCGTGTTTGCATTTGATTCGTTCGAACTCAAATGATGCAATAAGCAGCAACGAAAAGGAATTATTTCTCGCAAAATGCAAGAACTGCATAGCACGAGCTCCGTATAAAGCAAGGGGAAGGAAAAGGAAGCGAATTTCAGGGGCAGACGGCCGCTCGCATCGCAATGCTTACCAGTTTTTCTCGATGGGCTACTTGTAAGAAAAGTATCGGATTCTATCGTTATCTTGAGCCTTGAGGAACCGTCCCGTTTATGGAGAGTAGCTGATGGGATAAAGTGATATCCAACAATAATTCGTAAAATGTAAAACATAAAGCCACTTAATCTCTAACTGATATCGCCAAAACTTTTAGCGTCAGGCCGGTGCCACGACACACACTTATGCCCTATGCAGTCCCCCCGGATGACAGGATGGCCGCAATCCATGTTGCTAAGGGACTCGACAACAAAGCCGCACGTTCTTTGGCAGAGGTTGACTTTCATTGTGGCTCTCCCAATTAGAAGATTCATAAAAACCTTCAAGCATTCGCACCATAGATCGCACTAAGGCTTTGCTTGCATTGAAATCTGGTTAAAATATGCTTCAAAATGTGTTTATTTATCAATCATTTCTAATTTCATCTGTCCTAGAATTAAAAAACTTGCATTTCAAATGGTGCTATAAAAAAAACTGATGTCCCCAGTCCATTGCACAAACTGATGAATTTTGTGCAATGGATTGGGGAGAGTGATAAGAATTGAGGTCAGAGGAAATAGAAACCTTGGAATGGAACTTTGTTTACCTTATTAAAAATAGTGAAACGATTTAGAAAACACAAACACGGATCTCAGCAACCAAATAATGATTAACGTAAAGGACTTGTAACATAGTGGTACAAGTCCTTTACGTACCACTATGTTACAAGTCTAAAATTTTAGACTTGTAACATAGTGGTAAAATTTTTTATAGGTCTAAAATTTGTATAAAATTTATAGGTCTAAAATTTTATACAATTTGTAGGTACAAAGTTATGGCACACGTGCACCACTTGTGATTTTCTATCGCAATTAAGTCATGTAAATGGACACGTGTAAATCAAAACAACTTTCTTGGCATAATATAAAAAAGAATCGAATCATTAATCAATTATTTCATAACCCATCACGGCGTTCGCCCAGAACTGGGTTTGGTTTTTGGCAGCAATGTACAGGAGCGATATAAGTGCTGCAAAATAATGCGTGAACATCTACATATATGACGCTTCATATTCGGTTATGACGCAGCAGCTCTCGCGCGCGCATCCACTTCCGCGTGCACATGCGTGGTCTCGAATGGGGTTCCAACATTTTTATTTGTAATATGGACACTTCGAGAGAAGTTAATGCTTTGGTATTTGATTATCTTTTGAAAGTGGACGATTCAATTGCGAAGCAATATCAAAGGATTACGAGACCGGTATGTGTGAGGATCAATAGCGCATGAATCATTGTGAAGTGTGAACTGGAACTACCTCAATCTCAATCTGTCACGGCTGCATAGGCGTCGGAACGGGGAGGGCACCGGGGCACCATGCCCCCCTTTGATTTTGGCATTTTAACATTAGCCCTATGGGTGTTTCATGGAAAGAATGGGACCAAAAGTTGGCAGTGCCCCCTCCCCCTTAATTGAAGGTGTTCCGCCGCTACTGCACGGCTGTCGACTAGCATTCAGTCTCTCTGACTTATACTGTTGCAGGATTATACCCTTTTGTATACTTACAATGATGGGCATTTCTGTCACATAGAAGCAGATTAGGTAGGTACTTAAAACCTTAAAGGGAATATACCACTTGACCAACTCACATTCATCTATGCTACAGTCATAATTTTAATGCTTGAAATCAAAATGATTAAAAAGAAGATAATGAACATCTACAAAAGAGTTTTGAAGATATTCTTTTATAGGTAGAACAATTTTCCAACATTGGTAAAGGCTAGATAGGGGTTGCAGCTAAAAATCATTAGGTACACGTTGACCAATCATATTAGGTGCCTACCTACTTAGCTCAAGCCAGCTGCATGCTGATTGGCTGAAGATTGGCCTCCACCACAGGTGGCTGCATTCTTTACATTAGCTTAGCCCATAAGGGAATGCATTCCTCCTTTAAGGGAATAATTTCAGAACTTTAATTGATCCTCCTGGCTAGAGTGATTATTCTGGTGTAAAAGCTTAATTGTGCTGGTAATAGCAGTATTGCAGCTCCAGCTGCAATACTGCTATTTCAGTTCAAAACTACATGCTAAAAATGGAACCTATATTTCCTTAATTTACACGATCCACTCCATTTAGTCATTCTAATAGCAGTCTAATTCAAATAATTGACATGGTTTTATTGCCATACAGGTTGCACTTTGGTGAATAAGCATGTATGGTCGTCTATTTTTACCTTGATGGGTCATTTTAAGCATCTCACTTGAAGTGACATGAGTCAAGCGATTCAAATAAATTGATATTGTAAAAGTTTAGCAATGGTAAATAAGGATGGATAATGTAATAGGTAGACAGTGATTAAGGTACCTATTATTCTCTTGCACCTTTGTTTAATGCTACTCCAACATAAAAAACTAGCTGCTTGCCTATGTCCCCCAGCACAGTGCTGGCAGATCAAACGCCATTAACATTTTGATTGTGACACGATTTGATTATGGCACTGATTTTATTATTCCAGGATCCTCTTGACCAAAATGCACCACCATTAGAAGAAGTGGTAAAATGCTTCCTCACGTAAGTATGCTTTGTTTTTACCAGCATAGGTAATATCAGGCCTGTCTGCACCTTATATCTTTTCATCTGTTACTTTTCAAAAATGATTGTAAGATTTACATTTTATTGTCATACCCATTATTTGGGTGCCATGATTTGTCATGTGGCAGCTTTAAAATGCAGTGAAGGTGGTGTAAATAGGTCAAAGCCCAAGTCAAAGTCTGCCAGACCAACAAACACCCATATCAGCCATCCACTTTCATGGTAAACATTTTCTAACAGTTCACTATCAAAAATGTATGAAAGTAAGGTGTTCAGTAAGAATTGGAAAGAAAGATAACCACTTGAGTTTTTGTTTAAAATTAATACTTTTTTGGAGGTTGGTATGGAGATCTCCACACTGACTGCATACAACACTGTCAGTAGTATTTTAACCCTAGAACGCCTAGGGGGGGGGGTGTATCAACCCCCCCCCTGAGGTTTTTTCGAAGTGCACGCTAAACGGCTTGTCGTAGCGGGCTGAAATTTTCAATACCCTCTGGGGCAACCTTTGCGCATCTTTTGCCGAAAAAAATTGATCGGGTCATGTCAGGTCACGGAGTTATGACGTCATAAGAGGTACAGCCTCCGGCCGACAGTTACCAAACGTGTGCGCCGAATCCCTAGGTTTTCTGCCGGTGATACCCACACTGTTTGATGGATCATGATGAAACTTCCCATGCATGTTGGGGCAAGCATTGGCTATCGTGTGGTGCAAGAAAATTGACCGGGTCAGGTCAGGTCACGGAGTTATGACGTCATAAGAGGTACAGCCTCCGGCCGGATTTTCACGAAGTGTGTACCGAGTCCCGAGGTTTTCTGCTGATGCTAATGCTATCCACATTGCAGTGGATATCCACATATCTTTTCTGAGTCGTTACCTACAGTATTTATAGCGGAGCAGTGGTCAACAGCCGACGAATCGGGACAAACACCGGAGGGTGATGTGACACCATATCACTCATCAGCAATAGGCCTCTTACTTTTATAGGGTAAATACACCAAAAAAACACCATATATGATGCAGAATTGAGTGGGGAATACGTTGTTGAAGGTTTGAAGTTAATATCTCTCACCGTTTTGCCGCAATCGTTGCGCAAAGTTGAAAAAGTTTGATTTTTTCGGAAAATTTGACCTTTGACCGGTCATAAGTAGGTCAAATGTTGACCTAGGACCAAAAAATATACCACCAATCGCGAGATCTCGTTGAGAGCAATCCGTTGGTTTTTTCCGCTAAGCTCTACGACCTTCCGTTTCGAAACGCCAGGGGGGGTCGTAACACCCCCCCCCCCCCTGGTCGCTCGTGTTATGAGAAATGGCCTGGTCGTGCGAGGGTTAATTTCATGAGTTCCTTATGCAAATCGTTAGTGTAGAGTCAGAGTGTCATGCAAAACATTACACAATACACACATACTTTTGAGGTGAATATTTTCCTGACTTTGTCTTAATACATGCTAAATGGATAAACAATAGGCATGTCAAAACATTATTTTATAGAAAGCTGTTTTTTTTAAGTGAAACTTTCAGTGCTCTATTTTACATATACTTAACCTCCTGTTTCAAAGCTCAGGCCACTTAGATAGGTAACACGTTTGTAAATAGCATCAAAGTGACATCATGTATAGATGATTTACCTACTTAGAGGCAAAATAAGCTTCTAAAGCAGTTACTCTCACAAGTATAGAATTAACACCAGCCAGTGTTTCATTTTTCAGCCTTTTTGGTGGCAAATCACACCTAATGGGGAAAATATTTTCATCTCTAAAATATGAATGACCAACTTTACTTCATCTCTGAAAAGAGTTTCATGTATTCCCAACAGCCAGTTCACTTGTCACTTGACAGTTGATGCACCCACATCCTTTTGTTCCACACCCTGTCAAGATCCTGACATGAAATCCTGGTTTATCAGTTAGCATAAAAATTGGCATTACACCATTTTGCAAAAATACTGCAGTTATTTACTTTCTTTTTTTCATCCTAAGATTTTTTTCTTCATCGGCACACCCAACCAATATCCAATTTTAGAACACTGCACTTTCTCTTGAATGAGATGACACATGATGAATTGTCAGTGTTAATCTACGCTTTAATAATTCCCTGTTCTATTTTTGGAAGTACCTATTGCATATTGTGATAAAAGCAACACAGTGAAATCTTACGAAAAAGTCATTGACCTGGGCCCGGTTCTTATAGAAACACTTACCGGTAAGTGTGACTTGGGCCAAAGTGACACTTATCTTAGGGCGACTCGAAGTCCCGGTTCTTATAGCCACACTTAAAGCCTCCCTATGATAAGTGTCACTTTCCTTAGGGAGACTTTGAGTGAGACAAGCGAAGCGAACTTTGCATCTCTAAAATGTTATTTCTGGCAAATATGTCCATTTAAAGAAGCAATCACGTGGTCTTCATTCAATGCATACTTTGGATATGCATATGACCGAATATTCGAATAAGAACCAGTAGGGGAGAGTGGGGTAATTTGGCCGTTTTTTTTTTAGAAACCGATGTAACTAAAAATCGACAACACATTTCTGCATTTTTTCAACGCTGACAGGTGTGGCATACATTTTACTTTCCTGGACAGTAAATTTGAAATGATAGAGTAACTACTTATATTGAAATTGTGACGTATTACAAAGGTCTGCAAAGCGGCCAAATTGCCCCACTAGCAGGGTTATTTGGCCGGGGATGTGGGGCAATTTGGCCGGTGTTAGTTTGAGGCCATGATTTTTGTTATAGGCGAGTCAGCTTCACATTCAGCAATGACGCATGTCCTACGACGCATTTGAAGCATTTTGGAGGTTGACTCAGCCATCACAGGGGTCGAAACTAGTCAAAATAGCGGCTCTATATAGATGCGATGACAGTTTTCTACGAATAGCTTTTGAAGTAATCAAGCTAGACCAAAACTAAAAGCACCATCGTAATTCTCTCGTCATTCCGCATCGAAACATGTATGTGTTGACCTCGAGAGATCAAGGTCAAAGGTTGGCTTCAGGTCACGTTACCTCAGGTCGCTTGATCTCAAGGTTGCGTGAGTTCAAGGTCATCATGTATATCATTCGATGCGCCTTGACGAGGAGCTGAACACAATGAGACCATTTGCGCGGCTGTATCTTTTTTCTGTAAGTATTTATTAGCAAAAAAGCGTTAGGCAACCTTTGATGACGTCACATGCCCTAAGCCCTTACAGCTGTCCAGTAGGAAATATGGCATCAAGGTAGTCAAAGTTGGTCATGAATTATGTCCTTTATGGTATAATTGACCATGACAACTCGGCCGTCCCAGCATAGTGACGCTGAGCGCACCGGCCAAGTTGCCCCGCTAGTCCCGGCCAAATAACCCCACATTGCCATTCTGAAAATTTGTGTCTATAAAGTCGTCATGCCTGTACAGAACTAGATGAAATTGCTCTTGGAACCGCTGGACACGCTCAAGAATGGCGCTATAATGTCTGAATTCGTTTTTAGCCCAAATACTACATGTTATGCAGCTTTGTAAATAGAAGCAAAAGTTACCATTTTCTAATGAAATTAACGTTTTATTGATTTTGAATAAAACTGCGAGGGGCAAAGTTTTGACATTTGTTCTCGAGTTAGTTCTGCCGATGACAAATGAATAGAGACTTAAGTTATTTCATTCACTTTTATCAGCTTTCGTACAGGTGAGGGCGGCCAATTTACACCACCGGCCAAATTACCCCACTCTCCCCTACGTTGGATGACGCAGTTGTACCTTTACCTTTGACTCTTCGTTGTTGTTCTTGTTCGTTGGAAATTATTGGCGCCATTCAAGGCCCTAGCGCCATTAACAAAAAGCGCTTAACCCGCGCCCCGTACGGCTAACGGCGAACTCTGCAACCCGTAGCGAGGGGGGGGGGCGTTTCGCCCCCACCCCCCAAGATCTCGGAAGGTTACCGACCGATTCTCAAATTTCAAATGGCATTCAATAGCCCCATCGGGGAATTACCTTGTGTTGTGACCAAATGTAATTGACCTATATAGGTCCAACCGATGTCGTCTTAGGTCAGGTCAAAGGTCGCATGTTTCACCGTTTAGAGGCCTAATTCTAAAGAATGCGTCATAACATCGAGTAAGAAGAAAATTATCTAAAATCATCGATGAAGCGTTGGTTCCTGATACATACTCGGTATGTTGCTAAATGTGGTCGCTAATACCAGGTCAGGTCACTAAGGGTCAGAACATGACCCTGACTATATATAGTCAGGGTCATGTCACACAACCCTAGTATACTAGGGTTGTGTGACACATGTTTTATGGCCAATTTACATTTCAAATTCAAATTTGTGGGTTACGCAACCAACAGGGCCAGTTTGGGTTACGTTCTGATGGAGGTCAGATCAAGGTCAGGTCAAAATGCGGCAAATTTTAAAGTTGATATTTTTGCGTAAAAAGGGTACCTAACTATTCGGTGCAGCTCGTCACGGGGAATCCAGTGGTTATCTTTGTTTTACGCTAGTTGGTTTAGAAAATGTAAAAATGAGTTTGAATATTTCACGTCATCAATTTTAGGAAGTTTTTTTTTGCCCTAACTTTGCCAAAAATTGAGTTATTGAGCTGACATTTGGCAAAAAGGTGGGGACCGTTAGTTTTATAACATATATCCCGTTTCTTTCCTTTTCCATACTCCAGTGGCAATATTTGCAGCACTTAAGGAGATATCGACGGAAAATGAGAGAGGGAGCCGTTTCGGCCCACCTACGGGGCGCGGGTTAAAAGTGGGAAATCAATCATATCTAATCTAGAGATGACGGGCTTGTCTGGGACACAAACGTGCATTATAGTAAAGATATCAGTGGGATGCTTATGTATGTTTTACATGCGCGCATTTATTTATTAACCAGTAAAACGCCTTTTGTAGCGACAAACGGAGCGAGCGACTGCGAGAGGGTGAGCCTTGCACGTGCGGAATTGCGAGGGGATGCTTCCAACTGACTTGTGCACGGCACCCTACTAACC